GTTTAGAACCTTTTATCAAAATAAAGATATCATATATTACTGCAAGTTATCGTTTTCATAATATTCCAAAGAAAGCTCAACGACGCAAAATTGACAATACAGCGTAATTAGAGCCATTTATGACTGAGTTATTGAAAAATATAGGAACTGTTATACTTTTAGTATCTCACAAGATGAAAAAAAGGAAGCATTTCGAGGTTGAGTTTCATGTGTATATTCACAACAAACCGCAGAATTTGTTGCTGCAAAATGTTTATTGCCTAAACATGGAGCTTTCAGAGGGAATGCAACTGTAAGGGCCATATAGAGAAAAAATTTCCATACATTATGGTAAAACGACTTGTGAAGCCTGCCAAGGTTACCAAAAGGGACATCTCGTTTAGCAACTGGTTTACCAGCTAGCCACTGATGATAGTATTATTTGATGAACACTCCATCTTTCTTCTATGGGTACGTTTTCAAAGAACAAATAACACATATTTTGAATATTTATTGTCAATTAAAGATCGAGCAACGTATAGTTTTCTAATTGCATTTTAACCTAAAATTGCGGCTGTTTCATATACTAAAAGTAATAATAAAGTAATTTTGTTCTACACTACATCACACCGATGAGTTACCTTCCTGAAAGTTTAGATAAGCAACTACCAGAAGTAATGGAATTCCAAATAAGACAAAGGGAAAGGTGAAAACGATTGATGAACTTTATGCGAATTATGGCGTACAACAAATTTACATTCTATTTAAAACAGCAGGCGTCAATGAGCATATAATACATGATACGAATATTTGAGATTATGGTATGCAAAGGCATTCGGTTTTAAACAGTTAGATATGTCGTTGATAAAGGTCTATCAAATAATAAAACAGAGTAACCCTCGAATGGTTGCGATTTACACCAGGATGTACTAAGGATACCTAAAGAACCTCAGGCTATGAAACAATTAACGTAAAAATAACAACCCTGCTATAACTAATTTACAAGACACCGCAAAACGGTTAGAATATATGGAATTGGAACATGGATCGAGTGCAAATTAAAGTCGAAACTATTTTTCAGAAATGGGTTCCATTTCTTGGAGATGACTAATTCTAAATTGAGGTATAAAAGCCATATTACAGTTTAGAACCTTAACTAGTTCTTGGTATTTTTCTTGTGCGTCTGCACCTGTCTGCTAGTCTATTGGCTACGTAAATGTGTTCTATCTTGATCTTTATACATATATCTTCTTTCTATCTTATAATTATTAATAAAGTATGTACTTTTTATTTCTCTACAAGTATATCTTTATAGAGATAACTAGTCCTTCCATATGTTTGAAATGTCTTCGTGCGAAAGACAGAAAAACCTATTGTATCTGTACAAGGGGTATGTTTAGATCAATGAAAATTTGTATTGTAATAATGTGCTGACTTCATAAAATCATAGATTTTTTTTAAATATCACAGTTAATACGGTTCAGTTAATCTTCTAGTTTTACATAATATAGTTTGATTTTTTACAATTTTTATAAAACTTCTGTACGAATTTTAAGATTAAATGGGTGTTCTTCCCACTAAAAAAGCTGTCGATTTATACGTTTAACGGTCGTACTTACCTAGTACAGGTAGAAAACTTATTTTAAAACATTGAGAAAACTAGTTGCAAAATAAATAAAGTACAGATATTTCCTTTTTATGGGGGGGGTGGGGGAGAGGTGGGGGAGGTTGGCATCCCTTCTCCCACAACAATATTGGTGTCATTATTTTCTCACATTAAAGAAGGATTAGCGTTAAAAAAATAAACATCCTTTACTTAATAATTATAGTGTTAATGTTTTAGTTTTATTATGGAAATATACAAAGTCTTTTTGAGTATAAGTTTTAATACTACAATTAGGTCGTTCAAAAATGAATATCCATAATACTTCTTTAGTCGCCGACGTAATTTACTCAACTGAAAATAGAATACTTAGTAAATTAAAGAAGGAGCACAAAGCTTTTCTTAACTCTTTTATTGCCCTGTTCTTTCGCCGTATACATTATGTATTCACATAAAAATTACACGTTTAATATATAGCATCTGGAAAAAAAAAATGGTGCAATGAATGATAGATTTACAATAAAAGCGATCCAATTTGTTGTTTTGCAAATGAAAAGAAGTTACTAACCTATAAAGCGTTTACAAAGGTTTTAATAAATAAAAAGAAAACCAACATTTAATATGACACGTGCAGCTTCCTGTGTGTGAAAAGTACATAGGGCACATAAAACCGCCATATACATTACTTAAACATATATAAAATTAAACAACATACCAAATTAAATCTCTAATTAAAAATAAATTAATCAATGACATCATAAAGTAACGTTATAAAGACAACAACATTTTGACGTTTTGCCAGGATAATTATATTAAATACTTTACTATGTAAGTAAAGCTACTACAGGCTTTTTTCTTTTAAAATGAATCTAATAGCACACACACATTTAACAGATGGAAGCTTTACTGGTAGAGTAAGTTCGTTGAAGTCCGCTATTAGACAAGAAACTTGGGTGTTTCACTAGGCTCCTTACTATCTCCTTAGCCTTTTTTCTATCCACATGTCCGATATGCCACAATCGTCAAAAATAAACTTAGCCCAGCATGCTGATGACACGGTCTTATTTCATAGTTCCAAATCTACCTCACTGGTGTTTAAAAACATGCAGTCTTACTAAACCGTACTTGAGGTAAGGTTTTTAACATGGAGGTTAATAGTTAATGCGTCTAGTAGTAGCTTTATGATTATAACCCCCCGACTCCAGGTTTCACTAAACTTAAACTGACATTCCTCGAATAAAGATGGCTAAATATCTCGGAGTTATGCTTGACGGCAAACTAAATGGTCTGCGCGTCTTTCTTATCTCTCGTTTCTAAAACCAGACAACCTATAACCGCTTTATATCCCTTAATATGCAGGAAAAGCAAACTCTATTTTAAAAAATAAGCTTCTATTATACTAATCGGTTAAGCGCCCGCTAATGGTTTATGCCCCAATTGCTTGGATCCTTAAGAAAACATATAAATGGACTACAAATACTACAAAATTGCGTTCTGAGAATGGTGGTGGACGCTCCATGGTTTGTGCGCAACAGCCAATTACATAGAGAGTGTAACCTCGAGCCTATTCAAGATCTTAATAAAATTTCACGGAACTGGCTTACGGGACCAGTTATCACCATAACTTACGATTTAGGTAGGCACTCTCATTATCACACCATATACCCACAGCCAACACATTTCCTGGTTCTATTAAAGGGGGATATGGCTGATTATGGTTTATTTTATTAACCTATTAATTTATATTAATACATAATATAACGGTATTAAAACTTTACTATTTTATTAAATGTAATATTGTTACTACTTTGCTGTAAAGTCTTCAATTAACGTATACTGTTTAGCTAAAGCGAATCAGTTCTTTTCGTTGATGGCGCAATGAACCGTTAGGGGAGTTGCGACTTCCGCACCTTCAATTAATAGGGGAAAGTAGACTAAGCAACAACTGGTTGTAAATCACACCTGTAGCAAGACATGGCTATAAATAAAAAATTGTTTTTTTGTCTGTGGAGTCTACTCAGTATATAAGGCTGCAAAAAGTTTTAGCTTTACAGGACAAGGTTAACGTAATGTTTTGGCCTATAAGGCCGAACGGAGCGTTGTCAGTAACTGTCTATAGGATAGTTTATTAAGGGCTTAACGACTATAGGCTGTGCTTTAAAGAGTCTAAAAACTCAAAAGAAAATTTAACATTAGGACCACGCTATTTCTATATAAGTAATTATTTGTTTGATAGCCACATAAGTTTAGTTTTTTAAAAAAATAAACAATCGTGTAAGACCGAATAACTTTGTGAAGATATCTCACTTTTTAATTATGTATTGCTTAACGTCTACTTTACTATTATTCTCCGCTCTTCTAATTTCGCTATTTTTGAAAAAAATTGATTTAAGTTTTACTTTTACTGAAACGTAAGTAATTATCTTATACTTGACGGTATAACACTCCGCTAATGTGCTTAATTCTTCTTTTACCTCCCAATAAAAATTAGAATACTAAAAATCCCTTAACATTTAGTGTTTAAAACTATTAAAATTTCGTTTTTTTTTATAAACTCTTAACTTCAAAAAAGATTTTAGTACAGTATTGTTAAGTAATATAGTAAACTTAACCATATTTTTAAAACGAAATGCAACAGTTGAAAAAGACGAATATCAATGATTGTTTCCAATTTTAAAATATATTAGTATTTAATAAAAAGTACTCTCTCCTAAGAAGGTATACAGGTAAACATTAAAAGCTATTTCTTAATTCATTCGCATTTACTATTGCCATGAATTTAAGAAAGAATTTTACTGCAGTTACTAAGACTTATGTTGCTTGTTTTAATATTTTAATAACCTTTTTTCAGATAAGTTGTGTATTTTCTGGCGTAATAATTATATTCTACAGTGTACCTATGCAAATTATGTAAATTAACTGTCCAATGCTCTGAAGTACATATAAATTCCGTTAAAGATCGTGAAGCATAAATTAGCAAGTATTTATGAAACATAAGAAAAATGTTGAGATAATCGCAGCTTAATAAAATAAGGTAATTTAGTTTAAGCAGTCGATGGCTTAACTGTTCATAATTTAGTTAAATTTACATAATAGCAAATCCTGTAATTTCTTTATTATATTCATAATAAAACAGTATTAAAAAGTTTACAAATGTGGAAAGAAAAATATAGTTTACCACTTTAAGTAGGTACGTGAAAGTTTAGCTTTTATAAAGTATGCAATTCCCTAAAAGGAAGCTATAATTTTAATGACTAGAATTAGTTTGGTTTCTTTGCTTCTGTCACACAGAAACTGTTAGGAAAAAAATTCTACTTTTTTAGAATATGGCCACGGGAAATGTAGCGTTGGTTAAAATATTGTGCGAGTTAGTTGTGCATAACGTAAGAAACTCCTTTAGGTGATTGGCGCTACAGGTGCTACGGGGTACCAGGTTTTGTTACAGCTTTTAGAGGATTCCAATTGGGAAAAGGTACTGTAGGCTATAGAACTTTTCTTTTTACATTTCTGCAATGACAGTATCAATGAAAAATTAAACAAATAAAAAAATACAAAATAGATCATATCGATTTCACTGTCCATAGCAATTTTAGATAAAGCAAAAATATCAAACTATCTTCTTTCGTAAGTACGTTATTACCCAAATATAATTTGCCAAGGTATATGCCATAAGCCGAGAGAAAATTGAAATGGATTACGAGAATCTAGTTAATATTGTCTTAACAGACTTTATGAGTGAACTCAATAGCTCAAAAGATAAATGGAGGTCTCAATAAACTTATATATGTTAAAATCCAGTCTACTTATATTTTTTAGCGATGTAGATACGGTGTTTAATTGCTTGGGAACAACTAGATGGAAGAGCGGAAGTGCGGAAAATTTTGTTAAAGTAGAAAGGGATCTTACTGATGTTCTTTGCAAGACAGCCAAATCTATTGGTTTATAACTTCTTATGTGGATCTTCTATTAGTTTTTCTTATATTTACTTAGACTCTGTACTGTAATTATTTTCTGTAATAACTTTGAAGTTAGGAAAACTAAGTGTTTCAAAAAATAGATTTTGTATAAATATAGGATCTGCTCTAGTTTCAGATGAGTTTTTATTCTATTTAAACATTTTAAAAGGGGTTAAACACATGCTTCTTATATCGGCTCAATATGCTAATTCCGAACACTGGGGCCCAAGCTGGTTTCAACCTCTTTTTTACTTAAAAACAATGGGGGAAAAGGAAGAAGTAACTCTAAAGCATAATTTTATAAGAACAACTATAATGCGGCCTGGAATGCTTAATCGTCTTCGAAGTGACCGTTTTGGCGAATCACTCATGGCGCATTTGGTACCCACGTTAGACGTTAGGATACTGGCAAAAGCAATGATAAAAGCCGCTAACCAGAAAGTAACAAGTTCAAACTCAAGTTCTGTGGGCTATTATACTGGGAATGCACAGATTGAAGATTTTGTTAAAAATGGTTGAAAGTGCCTTAATAAAGTTTTATAAACTATTGAGATAAGTTTTAATGGTAGTTTTATCATTAAATTTGTTTTAATTAATTAAAAGTTTTTAAAGAAAATGCTGTCATATAGCTAGAATATAAACTATTAAAGCTCTTACTTGAAGAAAGTAGTAAGAACTAAGAATCTCGCATATTTTTAAAAACCGAATAAAGCTTAAAAAGTTATCTCTATTGCAAAAATGTGTACTTTAAGTTTTTGGTTATAATTATAGCGTTTAAAGTTTTACATAAATTTTGCACAGTTAAATATTTTGTAACATCTATTAAACCAATAACAGTACGCTATACGAGAAGGGCGTTTCTAGGTCTGAGCAGGTTAAAAAAAAAATTTAGTATTAATTATTAGTTTATTATAAGTCTAATATATAACCTTGCGCTCAATCGGTTGATAACCAAATTTTTAAGCACTCAAAGAGGATGATAGCGTACAAATAAGATTTAAGCTGGAAATAAAGAAATCTCAAATATTTATATTATTTTCCTTTAGCCTTCTACCACCATTTATAAATCAAAAACTCTCAGTACAATGCGCGCATGACAATTGCGGACGCTCTTTCAAGTTGTAATCGAGCTCTTCTTCTGGACGTCGATTGGTGTGCTTGGTAGGTCGTAACTTATTCGTAAGTGGTAATGGCATTGCGTTGAATAAGAGTAGCCAGGGACTTAAACTGGAGTTTTAAAGTTAAGCAATCTATCGAAAGGACTATAGGGCGCTAGTCATAAGCATAACAGCTTGTTTTGACTTTCTTGATGAGGTTGCTTTTGCCGGCGAGTCGTAGGCCCAGACAACAAACGCGTGTGTCGTGATTGGCCGGATACAGAGAGAGTTTGCCTTTGATACAAGGCCGAAGTAAAGGGTACAAATTTTGACCAACCGCCTTAACTGCGTTACTATATAATTTTACGTGCGACCGGAATGCCAGCTTGTTGTCTATAATGATACCCAAATATTTTGCAAAGGGTTCCCACTGTAGCAGCAGTTTTGCAATGCACTTTTGATAAAAAAAAAAAGCTTTGCTGTCTATACCAACGACGACACTCAATTACGAGCGTGACTAGGTAACACTATAACTTTCTTGCGTATTAAGTCCGCGCCTTGGGCGAGGTATGAGACACCCCTATCATTTATGCAAAAAGCAATGCGCGCTTAAGGATTGAACGGCGACACATAGCTCACATAAAGTGTAGAGAGCAAGAGTCTTAAAGAGATTATTGTGGGCCCTACTTTAGTAAATGAAATCCTGCCCTTTTAATGTAGGCATCCACTTTTTGGTTTGGTAAGAAAACTAACAGATCTTAAGGTGAGGTTTGACCACTTTGAAAAGAACAAGAAAAGGGACTGCAAGTTGTGATGCAAGCCCTTGTACCCAACACGGCCAGAAGCTTTTCCGACGCCTATTGCCTTTTGAAACTGAAGACAAGAGTCGTCCATTGTGCCAGACGGGAAAGCTGATGCTCTTGCTGAAATCCTAATGGGGCTCTGATGGGATATAAGGCTTGCATTAACAAACGCTTTTAAGAGGGGCAGCAGGGAGCTCCCGCTTCTCTGCTAACGGCTGACAGGGAGCTGATAGGTGGTTATTTAATTGGCGTAGAGGTTGTCACGGTGTCTTTGATAGCATCAGACCAGTGTATCTTCCATCGCAATGGGGGGGAGGGGGGAGCGAAGGATCTTCATCGAGTTAACGCGGAAGCAGACACGATCCTTTACCATTAACAACAGTTGCTTCAACATCACCTCCGTCGAGCCAGGTTGTTTTTGTCTCGATAGAGCTTTGAAAATCTCTTTAATTCCGATTATGGTGTTAGGCTCGCACTTCTCTTCGGCATCAGCGAGGGAGCACACCATTTAAAAATCATTTTTTCCGCAACCAAAGAAGAAGGTTACAACTGAGCAGCAAGGTGATCAGCAATGTCGCTTCTCCTTCGTCGTCTTACGCCACAAAAACGCCATCTCGTAGAGTGGGTAGTGGGAAGGACACATGGCCTCTGTATATCAATAAGATGCTAGAAAAGTTGCTGCTTAACCACCAGTCTCCGACATGTGGCTCAACTCTGTATTCCACTGAAGGTTATGGTATACCAACAGCTTGTTTCAAATGATACGGTGTAATATGTCTTGGAAAAGTAGCGAAAGTGGCCACGGGGAATAGGCATCAACGCTCGCTGGAAAAGATTTTTAGTTTAACAGGAAGAGGGTTGGAAGGCACTCATTTTCAAGAGTCGGCAAGGCACACTATATTCACAACTCCCACGTAAGCAACAGTAGCAGTCAAGTAGGGCGGGAGTATTTGGAGGAATCGAAGCTGTCGAAAAGAACAACACAGACGACACAACGAACGTTCGTAAAAAAACTTTAATTGCCAACGATGTCCTACACGTCTGATGGCACCGTCTTCGCCATGGTCGATTCTTTCGCGTTACACTTCCCTGCAGTTAATGTTTTCCTCGTTATACATCATTTACATTTTAAGACAAAAATCAGTGTTTGCAGGTGCCTGCTATACAAAAACCATTGGCAAATAAATCCATAACGTCTCTATCAACCAAGACTGAGAGATTTGTTGTCAATATTGCAAGAAGTTGTTGTTGTAGATGAGGAGGTTAGTGAGTCGACTTTGTGCCCAAAAAAACGGAGTACGAGGTGAAGTGATTCTTTATGTGTTGGAAAAGCGATGGTAAATATGCATTGTATGCAGCAGCAATTTGTCACAGTTAACAGGGTAATCTCGTGCTTTTTGTGGCCTAAATATAAAAACAAGGGGAAAAAGATGAGCAAGGGAAAGGAGCAAGACGAGATAAAATTTATAAAGCTAAACGAGAAAATATATACGTACTGCGACTGAGTTAAGTTGCAAGATACTAATCGCTAAATTTCATGTGGTAGTAATGCGCAAGGCCGCCGAGCAAAAACTTGCACTGATCACGTGACATAAACTTGAACAACAGCAATTTATGCCCACGTGGTAGTTAAGTGGGGAGAACGTTGGATTATTTTCTTTATTTTTTTTTTTTTTATTAAACTTTTGTTTTGGCGGCATTTACACTAAAAATGAGCACTGAAAAAATCATTAAACAAGTAGAAGTAAGTTTTGTTTTTTCTTTATATTTTATCAAATATAGATTTTTAAATAGCTCTATAGTACTATTTTAGTGATGCAAACATTGTGAGAGACAATTTTCTTAAAGCACAGATTGCCTCTAATGAAGGAGGCTGTAAGTATTTTATCAATTAATTACTTATTTTTATCTAAAACTACATTAATAGTCGTTCCAGTAACTGTTTTGGTTACTTTTAAACGCCTCGCGCAAATTTCTGACGACGTCGACGTAATTTTTAATGCTTTGAAGTCTTACGCTTCAGAAGTTTATGAGGTTGTAATTTAACATACTTTCTGTTTTTTTTAATTTATTACTGTTAAACACTTTAGGTTGATGAAGAATCTAAAAGCGTTAGGAGGAAGCATAGCTTACCTGAAAATTATTCAGAATATGGGAGGGCTATATTTGCTAATGGTTACTCTTAGTTAATATTTTTTTATATTATTAAGATTTTATTAAGTATTTGTGAAATTTGGCACTTTTATAATTTCGTATAATTTTTTTATCATCTTAAATAATTATAAATATACGTATATTTTTGCAGCTTTTATAAATTTAAAGCAATTATTTATAATTTTATAGAAACTTAGATCTTTATAATAATTTGTTTTTAATTATAAAGTTATTTTATATCTTAGTAAAACTTTTTAAACTTGTAATAACTTCATTTAGTAGCTATATAGAAAAATATAATTACTTTGTTAATTTAGTTGTTGTTGCTTGATTTTTATGAAATTTTTATTTGTTTCAGAAATTATTCATTTTCTGCTTCAAAATTTTAAAATAAAGATTTAAACAATAATATTAAAATTAATTTTTATTATCTAGAATATTATAACAAATTCAAGTTTTTTTTGAATTTTTTAAACTAGTATAAATTTTTTTAATTTTTTTTATCTAGGTATTTATATAAATTAGTTTATATACGCTTTTAAAGTTTATAACTGTTTCCAAAGTTTATATAAATTTATATTTCGAGTTAGTTAATTAGTTTTTTAATATTGGGAGTTATAATTCTAAAACTATTTTTATTAAATTAATGAAATTTTAATTTATTTTTACTTTTTGCTTTTTTAATACTGAGAAAAATTTAGATTCATAAAAAGTTACCTTCAGTACTTTTTTAAATACTTTCTAATATATTTTGTGCAATATATAAAAATACACTTTAATTTTTTCAAAAATTTATAAAAATAGTTATTCTAATTTTATTTACTTTATAAATTCTTTTAATTTATCTATATAGAGAATTTTTGATTTACAATTTTATTTTAAGTTAATTTTCCTTTATTACGATTTTTTATTAATATGTTATTATTGTATAAATTAATAAAGTTTTTTTTTAAATTAAATTAGTTTTTATTTATAAACTATCTTATTTTGTTTTACTTTATGAGAGAATATAAATATTTATTACATTACAATAATATAAAAGTTAAAAAAAAAACGACCAACTCTAAGAAATTCTGCATCGCTGGCAGACACCCGACAGGGCCGCGGGGCAAATTGCACATGTTAGTTCTGCAAGCACATGTGTTATTTAAATTACTTGTATATAGTTTTTTTATTCCTTTTCTAGCTATTGAAAGACTGCCTTTAAGCAGTAAATAACAATAAGTAAATTTATATCAACTTATCGATTATTTTATACTTATTATTTTTTTTATTAAGATTTTATAATGTATAATGTCATTAAAATTATGATAATTATAAATAATTTTTTTGTATAATATTATTTAAATTTACTTAAACCTTTTTCATTAAGGATTTTCAATTTTTAATAAATTCTGTTAATAATTATTATTGCCTTTTTTTATAAATTGAATTAAATTTTTTCTTTGTTTTTATTGCTATGATATGAATAGTGGTTATCATTATAAATTTTGTAAATTTGGTAATTTTTTATAATTTTTTTTATTTTTATGATTATTTTTTAAAAATTTATCAAATATTATACTTAATAAGTGAATATTAATATTCCCTATAAAAATTATTTTAACTTCTTTTATTTTTAAGGATTTTATGATTAAATATAAGTTATAATATGATCTTTTAAAGCATACAAATACTTTTTTTGAGACCGATTATATAAGCATTTAATTGATACATTTTATTGTTTCTATTGAAGTGGTACTCGTAGATACTTTACAACTATAATTATCAAATTTTTTTATTTCAAATATTAATTTTTTATATTAAATTTGTTTAGATTATTTCAAATTTTTAATAATTTTTATATATATAATTAGTAGTTTTTTTTTGAGATTCGAAATTTCATATTTTTTTTAAGACTTTTTTAAGATAATTGTTTTAAATAATTTTTATAAAATTTTTAATTGAATGTTAGTTTTTAATATAAATTCTTGTGAAATTTTTTTATGATAATATCATGTTTATTTAACAAATGAATTAGTTATACTTATACAAAATTATTAAAAAACTTGCAAATTTTAAGGAGTTTATCTTAAAAATAAGAAATATATAAAGTATTATATTCGTATGATCCGAATATTTTTTTATTATAATGTTATTTAAAACTTTAAATGATATTATAATATATATATTAAAATGATTTTTTAAAGAATATCCATTAATTATAAAAAACTTATAAGGATTTTATATTATTTACAATTTTATTAAATTGTTGTTATAATTTGTTCAAAATTTTTTTTAAAAAAATATGAAATATTATGTTTATTATAAAATTTAAATAATATTTTTTACTTTATTAAACTTTTATGTAATAGTTTTTATATATAATAAAAGGATTTCCTAAGGAATATTCTCTTGAAGATTTGGAAAAGTTCTGGTTTGCCCGCTCCTCAGCAATTACTCTTGTTAAAGTTTTAAAGCCTAGAAGCAAAAAACCGTCTCAGCAAGTAATTATTATTATAAAATTTATATTGAAATTGAATTTTGAATATTTTTATAAATATTATTAATTACACATGCAATTATCATATTATAAATTTAATAATTATAAGTATTATAATATTATAAACAGTTAAGTACTTAAGTTTATATAATATAAATGGAATACTTTCAGTATCTTTTAAATATTATATATTACAATATTAATAATAACAATAAAATATAAATATTTTATTAGAATAATATAATTTTATAAAGCATTGAGAATATAATTAATTTTTTCAAATATTATGTAATATTTGAAATATATTTTTAATAAAGTTATTGTTTTACTTTTTATTATTTATTATGAAAAAATTTATTATAATTGATTTTTTATTGTTATTCTGTTTCTGTACAATTTTTAAAGGGAAACACGAATTTTTTTGGTTAATTTTTTTTTATAATTTTAAGGTAAAATAGTTAAATAAAAAAATTGGAGTTATAATTATAAATTATTCATATTTAATTATTATTATTTATTTATACAGGTTGACTGTTACGTTGTATTTACTTCTGAAGAAGAATGCCAGAAAGCCATACAGGAAAAACTTTTTGTGAATGATAAGGAAATTCAAGTGAATCTCAAAGTGGAAAAACCTAAATATAATGAAGAAAATGTTCTTGAAGAAGAGCCGTTTAAAAAAGGTGTTTGTTAGTTTTATTATTTATTACATATTATTTTACTTATTATGTTATTTACTAGTAATTATTATTTTTTATTATTTATAATTTATTACTTTATTATTGTTTTTTTATTTTGTTGCTTATTGCTAAATATTATTATTTTATTATTTTACTATTTCTATTATTTTTTAAATATATTTGTTGTTATTGTTATTATTATGTAAATATTTATTATTAATTACATTTTTACTTAAATATTTTTTTTATTTTGATATTTATTGCTAATTATTATATATTATTAAATATTTAAATAGTTTCACTAATTCTTTTAGGTATATATTTGTTATTATTATTAAAGTATTTATAATTTATTATTATTTTACTTATTGTTACTATTACTACATTAATTATTGCTAATTATTATTTCTATTATTCTACTTAATTATAGTTATTTTTATGTTTTATATAATTTTTTTTTTTGATTTAAATTATTATTTTTTTACTATTGCTACTCGTTAATTTTTATACTTTATTTTATTATTATTATTTTAGTTTATTTTATTTTCAATAATATTATTTATTCTTAAATTTTACTAATTATTATTTTGTTATAGAAATATTTATTTATTGTTTATTAGAACTTATAAAAGATAAAAAAAACCAAAATTATAAGAAAAAATATATATAAAAACTTATTGAAGTCAATAAAAAGAAAGTTATAAAAAGTATGTATAATAAATTAGGATTTAATAAAATAAGGAAGTATGTAAAAGTTTATATATAAAAAAAGTTAGGTATGTTTAAAATAATAGGAAGTATATTTAAGTATTTATAAAAAAAGTTACGAAAAGTTAATAATAATATGGAATACATAAAAATTTATTTGAAAAAAGTTTATATAAGAAGTACTTAACGTAAAAAGGTTATAAAAAAGTTTATAAAATAGAAATACGTAAAAGTATCAATAAAAAAGTAACCAGGAGTAAGTAAAAATAGTAATAAAGTATATATAGAAATAGTTATAAACGTCAATAAAAATAAAAGTCGATTAAATTTTATATATAAAAAAGTTATATAAGTTGAAAATAAATAAGTACTATGAATAACACTTAAAAACCACCAATGGAAGCATGAATTTTTACTAACGGCTAGTCGCTAGCGACTCCCAGCTAATAATAATTTTCGTGAAATACGCGCACTAATTGGAGGAGTGCAGAAAGAGGAAGGCTTATTTTAATGAAAAACATTTTTATTTTGCGTAATAATTTTTATACTACTTGAACTTATATTGTTAAAATTTTTAGTGAAAGTGTTTTCAATTTTTCGGGGTTATTATGAAAAGTGAATCACAAATAATTATGATCACTTACGGAAATAATAATTCACGACTATTATTATACTTAGTTACATTTATTTTTACTCATTATTATTTTTTTACTACTTATTATTATTAGGAAAAAAAATAGGTTATTATAATTATTATGTATTATTCTTTTTACTTTTTTATTGTTAATGTTATTTTTTTTACTACATACTACTTTTTTTTTACTAATCATAATTATATACTATTTTTTTTACTATTTATTATTATATATTATTCTTTTTTTTATTATTATTCATTATCAGTTATATTTTATGTACTCTTATCATTATTATTTGGAAAATATATATAATAGTATTATTTGTTATTCTTTTTTATTTATTTATTGTTTTTTTTATTTTTACTATTTTTATTGTAATTCTAGAGAAGGAATATATATTATTTTATTATCATTATTTGAAAAAAAAATAATTTACAATAATTATTAATTATTTACTATTTTATTAATTATTATTATAATTTCGCTACTTATTATTTTGGAAAATAAATAATTTAAGATAAATTTTAATTTATTATTCTTTTTTTTTTACTTTTAGTTATTGCTATTTTTTTAATAATTATAATTATAAAAACAAAATAATTTACGTTAATTATTATTATTTGTTCTATTTATTATTTCCTTTATTTATTGTTATCTTATTACTTTTTCTACTATTTATTATTATTCTTTGGAAAAAAATAATCTACAGTAATTATTATTATATTATTTATTATCTATTAATATCTATTATTTTTCTTAATATATTTTTTTTAAGGTTCCTGTCTTGCCTTGTCTGGACTTGACGCATCGTTGCATCCGTTGAATGTTAAGAGAATTCTCACAGTAGAATGTATTAAAAAACTTTTATTATTATTCTTATTATTTTTTTTATTAAGCACTTATATTATTATTACTAATACAAGTTTGTTAAATAGTTTTCAAAGTATTACTTTTTTTATTGTTATAATAAGTTTATTATGGATTTTTCTCATTATTATTATATAAGTTTATTTGAAGGTTTATTATACTTATTATGTTTCAAAGCTTAAGAATTATTATATTACTAAAACTTTTATTATAATTAAGTTCATCAAGGGCTTTTATTATTATAAAAAATTTTACTGTTATTATTATATCAGAAGTTTTAGAGTTATTATATTATTATTATTTCTATTAAGAATTTTTCTTATCATTTTTATATGTTTATTAAAAATTTTAAAAATTATTTAGATATTATTATAAGTTTATCAAGGACTTTTACTGTTATAAAAAGTTATACTGTAGAGTTATTTATTATTATTATTATTATAATTTTATTAAATGTTTTACTTTTATATTTGAAAATTTTAGTATTAATATTTAATTATTATAAGTTTGTCTAGAAATTTTATTATTATTATAATAAAAGTTTATTAAAAAGTTTATTTATATTTATTTTTATGTTTATTAAGGAGTTTTACTTTTGTATATAAAACTTTTAGAATTTTATTATATTATTATTATAAGTTTTTTAAAAATTATTATTATATATTAAAAATTTTTGGATTGTTATTCATTTTTTATTATAAATTATTAATAAGTTTTATTATTTTTATAATATTGAGATTTATTTTGTTATAATTATAAAATTTTAAGAAGTTTTAATTATTATTTATTTAAAAGTTTAAGAAATTACAAAAAATTTATATTAATTAAACTTTTTTTAAAACTCATTGAACTTTTAATTTTAATTTTTATAAAAATACAATTTTTAAAGGAATTTTTGTATTAATGTTGAAGGTTCTTTTCTTCCTTCTTTTGTTGAAAAGAAAAATTCTGGAGAGTTTCTTGTACGTTTTGCTGATGCCGTTGCGCTTCAGGTCGCTGAAGAAATACAAACAAAAGAAATTAAATTTAAAGATGGAGTTCCTCAAGTTCGTGTATTAGAAGGAGAAGAAGAGAAAAGTTATCTTCAAGAATCTTATAAAGCGAAAGTATTTTTTTTTTGAATTTCAATTTTTTTTGATTTAATTTTTATTATAACCCAGTGCGAGCATCTTGCTAAGAGTAAAAATTTGAAAGGTTTATTTTTTTATTTTTTATAAGGATTTATATTGATAATTTTAAAAAAAGGTAAAAGAAAAAAGAAAGTGGATGGAAAAGGTAAAAGTAAATTAAGGAAAAGTGGAACTGAAAGTGGTTTTGAAAATGATAACAGCGAAGCTGAAATTAGCAAAGCTATTAAATCTACTGAAGATGGCCATCCTGAAGATTTTAAGATACCTGAAAAAGTTAGTACGGAGGAAATCAACGTGGCCAATTGAAATAAATTTGGATTTAGTTAACTTTAACCACTAAAGATATTGATAATTTTTTTTTTGCGTTTGTAGTTAATTTATTGTTCTGCATATTCGTTGTAGCAAAGATGCTCCTCTGTAGGATTATTGGTCCTATAAAGTTTATACGTAGGCCTCTAACGAGTTAAAATTTCAATTAATTTATTTCAACGAACAAAGATTTAAAGATAATTACTTTTGTATTTGCGGTATATTTATTAAGTTGGTCATCTGAATTTGTAGATTTTATTAGTTTACATGCGAAGGATATTACCGTCGCTAATTGATATTAAAGTTGGATTTAATTAAAATTAACAACTATAGATACAAAAAGATTTTCAGTTTTTCTGCAAGTGTAGTAGTTTTTATAAAGTTGGCCCTTTAAAGATTTACATATGCGATAAATTTGAGGCGGAGGCCACTAAAGCGGTTTATTGTTTTAAGTTTAAATTTAACTGATTTTAACTAAAATTATAAAGATGATCTTTCTAAACATTTTAGAAAAACTTAATACGTAAGCCCCTAACGGGGCTCCAATTGGTGTTAATTTTATTAACGAATAAAGAAAAAAAAATTAATTTTATTTTTGGCATTCGTAGTAAAGTTATTGTGTTGTTAATTCGTTATAGCAAAAGTAGCCATTTTGAAGTATTAAGATTTCCGTAGACGTCAATTTTTTAATTTATATTAAATTATTTGATTTGAAAAAAAAGGGAAGCGCCTTTACTCCTTTATTTATTATTAATGACAATCCCTGGAGCTCGATCGTGTTAAAAACTTGGAATACTCGAGCTCTCAATGAGGAGTGATAGCAGATATTGCAAATAGCGTTCAGGATGTCAATTTTTACATGAACAACATAGAAGACTAGCACTTAAGCTCCTCACGTGGGGGACGAGAAGGTGCCCCGCCCTATAGCTCGTAATAAGTTTGCTCACCAGCAGGGGATTAGTGTACCTGAAAAGCCTGTGGTAAAGGACCACGGGATGGCGTTGGAAAACAATGTTTAGAGGGCCCACTTGAAGGCCCCGGTGGAAAGCATCATTTCGCAAAAACCATAGCGCCTTTGTTAGAACACCCAGCAATTTGTTCTGACGCACTTAAGGTGGTGACGCTATCGCAGTGGAATCGTAGGTTCAAGCAGCAATATCATTCTTGGCTGAATGTAAGACATATCCAGTTGTCGTTGGTTTCGCAGAGAAAGCTTAACCTTTCCGCAAAGTAAAGGATAAAGCGCCTTGTTTAACTGCTTTGACCTTCACTGATTAGTCCACGTGAGACAACCAGGAAGATTTATTGTCGATAATGACTTCCAAATATTCCGCTTGAAATATTCCGCTTGAGAAGACCATGGAATCTTCACGCCGTTAAAGGTTAAGGGCACCAACAAAGGGTCCCGTTCCTTTGAAATTAATATAGCTTTGCTCTTCATCGCATTAATAGTAACTTTCCAATCCCGACACCAGAGAGCAGGGGCGATAAGATAGCGCTGTAGATACTTGCATAGCAAAGCTAGAGAATTCGAAGAGGAATATACGGTCGTATCATCAGCGTAGAGACGATTGGTGTGCGTCGATCGGATGACAAGGGCACGTCGCTCATGTAAATTGCAAATAAAGGGGGCGAAAGAAATGATCACTGAGGGGCCCCTGCTGTCAAAGATCGAAGCGGCGACCGTGTATCTCCCAAGCGCACGCTGAAGGTGCGACCATTCAGATATGATTCAGCATATTATAAAGGTCATGAGAGACGGATAACGAGCGCGGTTTGCAGCAGATCTTCATACAAAATTTGATTACAATGCCTTTTCAACGTCAAAAAAGAGACAGGACCTATTGCCTTATTATGATTAAAAGCGCGAGAGTTTCATTCAGTTAGGCAGAGGAACTGCGGGGTAGTTGAGCTCTTGTCGGAATCCAAACTGAAACTCCGGTAAAGCTTTCCGAGAGTCAACGACCTTTTTAAGGCGGCTCAGTAAAACATCTCCTACCTCTTTGCCTGCCGCTGACCGTAGTTTGAAGGTTCAGTACTTGGTAGATGCTGATCCCGGTTTATGTGTTTTTGCTAGCGTCACAACGATCGCCGTCTTCCATCGAATAGGAAAGGCGTCAAGGAGCATAAAAGATTTTATAAGTAGGTAAAGGTAGTGCATCCCTATTACTGGCATTTTCTTCAGCATCTCATTAGTGATTCCATCGGGCTCAGGCGCTTTCCGTTAAGGTAGCACTTTGACAACTGCTTGAACCTCGTCAACATTAACGAGAATAAGTGTTTCTTAGTTAACGGGAAGGGGTAAGCTCAGTTGAGGGAACGCATCATCATTAGCAGTATAATGAGCAGTTGACTCGTGTTGGATAGAGAGAACATTGGCAAGTCGGCTACTATATTTCTGCACGAAAGGGCAGTAGGGGTGCAAGACTCCAATTTTTGATCCTTTTAACAAATTTCGAAAAGGAGGAGCGAGTGCTGCTGCCAGATTCTGATATACGATGCAGTTTGCTCTCCCATTTATTGTTAAATGGGTCATTAGCTTTTTCCTAATGCACCTGTGAAGTCGATTAAGCGCAAGTTTGTCTTCGGCGCTCTGCGATAACGTGGCTACTCATGTAAGTGGGTCGACGTTAGATAACTGTCTTTAGTTCGTCGGACAAGCGGTCAGGTCGTTACGTTACTTCATGAGTTGTCGTGGCAATAGTGTGAGCCGTGTTCGGTGCGGTTTCGAAAAGGACAACTATCATTCAAGAGGGCAAGCGTGCGCGGCAATGACGGATGGCGGTAGCGTAGTTTCTACTACATCAGCATATTAGTCCTAGTTGGTGGAAATACGGGTAATGGTCTTTGATGTGCCCTTCTCATCCCCAAAATCGAGAATAACTGGGAGGTGATCGGAGGACAGCTCATGGAGCGCTTCAAGTGTCGATTGCTTTAAGTATGGCAATATCCTGTACGTCCGTTGCGCCTATAGTCGCCAAGTGTATTAGTTGCTAAGGACCTAGTACACACTGTCCGTGCTCATCAGCATAGGTCTCAAGGATGTGGCCATTCGAGTTATCGGCTCAGCAGAAGAGGCCCTCCCAGGGATAGCGTCTAATCGGAGGGCGCAAGTAGCTTCCAAGGGGGTTTGTAGACAGCGATTATGGGCACGGGTCCCTAGTAAATTTCCACTGCCTCGGACTATGTAGAGCTGGCATAGATATCGAATGATATCGAATACTTTGTTTCACCAGACAGCAACGCATCCGCCGCATGCACCAATTCGTCTTGGCGATACATAGCAAAATTGCACAATTAAATACGACGTTAAGAAAGAGGTACTCTCGTTGATGGCGCACACATCAATTCTTTCTCTATGTAACAGACTCTAAGGCTCGTGCTTATTACTTTGAACTCCATTTGCGTTCCAGAATAGGTGTCGAATGTGGCGGCGCGTCTTTGGCTTAGAAACCGTTGCAAACAGATTCCAGCCTTTCACAGTTTTAAGCATGCTGGATAACTTCGTTGTTAATATTGCTAATATCTGCCGTATTGTCGGCTGCGACTGTTCAGCTTCCGCAGTAAAGGTTTGGCAGCGACTTGAGGGCCTAATGGGAATATTGAGCAAATCTTTATGTTTCAAACGAGACGCTTAAGAGGTCCCTGGGTAACAGTATTGCTTGTAGTTGCGCCGACGAAGTAAACTTTGAGGACTGATCGGCTGCCTTACGCGAAAAAAATATTTGCAGCCTCTATTGCAGGGCCCCCCTGCGAACTCGTAAAGAGAAAACCCTCCTATTATTCTTTGCTAAAAACCAAGATGGCCCCCACTTGTACAACTTTTGCATTCCAACGGTGCAAGGATCCGAGGTCAAGAGATTAAAAATTTCCGACAACAGCCAAGAATCCCGTGCGATCACAGCAAGCAAGTTTGCAACAATTTTTTCCCTATCAAATTACATGATGGCAAGTCACACAAAATTGTTATTGGTGGAATTATGCATGTTAACAAATAACTAAAAAGAATCTACTTTTTTTTTACTTCTGCCAGTTTTAGTAAGCCCCAAAAAAAGTGTTTTATTTTTATTTTTTCAGGAAAAAACTAGCAAAGCTGCATCTACATTCGTTTAAATTCTGCATAGTTTTAACAAGCAATAAAAATAATAATTTATAGTTATCATTTCTGTAAAAAAACATACAAGAAGCATTTTTACTATAAATATAGCGCCACTCCCTTTTTTGAAAATTACGAAACCAACTAATAAACGTTTTAGTCATTTTTATTATTCTGTTAAACAGGTATTTGTCTTTTTATTAACTTTAAAACGAACTTTGCTTTACTATGAATATTTTTGCATTAATTGAATAGACATCATTTAAGCTTCAAAAAGAACAGTAGTATAAAAAATATTATCGTAAAACAATAAAGGTACTGTACATGCCCCCTTTAAAACTAGTATTGTTATTTATTGCTAACATATAATTTAGTTAAAAAAAATATATTATGTATTATAATAAAACAATGAAAAGTACTGGTTTGTGCGCCCTTCCAAACTAATATTGCTACTACTGCTAATAATAAAATTATTAAAAGTGAGGTAATAATCTTAAAAATATTTTATTATTTAGGGATGGTGTTTTCCTCTTCTGCTTCATTTTTACCTAATTCTTCTATAAGAAGGACTAATTCTCAAATTTTTTACTCCGATCAGCGGTACTTATTATTATTATAAAATCCGTTTTTCCTCCAAATAGTTTTTTTTTGAAAATATACCTTTTTGTCTTTATTTTTCTTTTACTTTCCTCTAGTAAATGAGCAATTTAAAAACTTTTTACATAGTTATCAATCTCGTACGAATTTAAGCAGCCTTCAAAATTCTATTTCAGGTTTTATACTTAAGTTTTACTTTTTACTAACACTTTAGAATTTTTATAAATATTTAATAATAGATGGCTCCGTGGGTCAAACCGTTATAAATATTTCTCCTCTTCGTTCATCCTCTCGTTTGGATTTCGAGTTTACTTTTTTTATGCTTAATGTCCTTTTTTTTTTTACTTTAAGAAAGTAAAACCATCAGCGCTTGGCTAATTTTTGAAGTTTTACATATATTTTTATTATTCAATTCACATTAATATTTTATGAAAAAAACTTCATTTGTAAACGTTAACTCATATATATACATAAAAAAACACCCAAAAGTCTAATTTTTATTTCGTTTACTTTTTAATAAAAAATTATTGCTCTTTTCTAAATTTTTTAAACTTTTACTATTTTTTTGAAAAATATTATAATTTTTACTTCTTTACATTTTTATAAATATTATATAGAAATTATTTTACTTTTTTCTAATGGATTCAACAACTTAGATTCAAAAATCGCTCTGCAATTTCCAAAATTAAAAATTTTATATTTCTAAAAAATAAAAAGGGACGAATAGTTTTGCTTTTCCTGCTGGTCGGTGCGGTCGTAATTTTTGTAAACTTTTACTACCGGATTTTGGATCTTTCCGCTGTACATTAATTTTTATAAATTTTTAATTTTTTTATATATTCTCTAATAAACTATTTTTCTTGTTTAATTATTATTATACTATTATTATTATTATTAATTTCTCTATATATTGAAAATATAGAAGAAAAAAATGCAGTATGGTTTAGTAATTGATGCAGGAAGTAGCGGCAGTAGAATCTTTATATATTATTGGGTTAGTACGTTAACTATAATAATAAATAATAAATTTAATAATAATAATTAGAAGAAAAAAAATTTTTTTTTGTTAGTTTTTAATGTAATAAATATATAACTATTGATAAATAAAAGTTGTACAAGTTGTTCATAACGTGTATATATAATAATAATAAATAAATAAATAAATAAAAATAATACAATTTTAAAGCCTTCCCAATCTCGAAAGAAAGGAGAACTTAATCGTTTTTTTCCTGCTTTGGATTCTCTAGGAAATTCACTCTCATTAAAACTATCGCCAGGTCTTCCTTTTATATAATTATAATAATAATTTTAGTAATAATAATAATTAATAAAATATTTTATTAAGGTCTTTCAGCCTTTGCAGATAATCCTCAAGAAGCATCGGCGCAAGTTTTAAAGTTACTTAATTATGCTGTCCAGCATTTACCAGCGGAGCCTTATAACTTAACGTTTGTACTATAATAGATAATAATGATACATAACGATTAATAATAATAAGAAATATGATAATAATGGTAATAATAATAGTAGTAATAATAATAATAATAATTAAAGGCCTTTATATATTCTGGCGACGGCTGGTATGCGCTTATTGCCGACTGCTCAACAAGAAATTATTTTTTCGGTGTTGAATATTTTCATTAAAAATATTGGAAATATTTTGTTTAATTCTTTTTTATAACAGTTAATTAAAATATTTTTGAACTTATTATAGTTTTATTATGTATTTGTTTTTATTGGTGAATAGGAAGTAAATTTTTTTTATTGATTGGTTAAACTTTATTTAAATAAAACTTGTGAAAGCACGCCTTTTTGAAAAGTTAGTATCATTTATTTTTACAAATAAAAATACAAATATTAAATATATTTTTTTAAATTTGTATATAAAAACTTTTTAATAAGTAAAAAATATATAATTAGGATTTATAAATAAAATATTAAAAATATTTAGAAAAACTTTCAATATAAATTTATTTACTTAATAAATATTAATGAATACTAAATGAAACGGAAATAATAATTATTATATAAATTTTGAAAATTAACACCGATAGAAAAGGAAAAATTATTAATAATTTATTAATGAACAATATTATTGGGTTTAACTCTAATAAATCACGTGATACACCACGTGGTAGACATAACATGTCATTATATCATATACTGCCGCGAGCCTGTGTGGTTAGCTGCACTTGTTTAAAACACGTGCTTTTTACCATGTGCCGACACCACTTGTCGCAAGCGCGCTTATAAAAAAATGGTTTAAAGTTTTATAATAAACTTTTTATGGACTTTGTAATACTCAATTTTTATTATTTTTAAATATTATAAAAATTAAAATTTTTTTAACATTATTTTATAGAAAAGTATTAATTTTAAAAGTATAAGAAATTATATAAACAATTAAAAAATAAATGAAAAAAATAGTAAATACTATAAAAACTATAGAAAAATATGTTTCGTAAAACTAGAAAAATCATACCTTACTTGATTGCTATTAATATCATTATAATTATTATTTTTGCATTTTTTTAATATTTTCATTATATTTTTTGGAGTAAAGTCGGAGCGTTCCTAACTGCCAATCCGCGTAGTTCTTTTGCTTAAGCTTTGGTTCTTTACTAACGGGTAGTAAAGAAATAGATATTTTCATTATTTTATTTGTAATGCTTTGCACTACGTTCGAGAAAGTTTTGCTTCCATCAAGCGCACGTGTGCTATTCATAACATACTCATAAGCTTCTATAAATGAAATTTTTTATTCGTGCGTTTTTTAACTTTCAAAACTCATTAATTTTTAATTTTTTCTAAAGTACCACTAATTCCCTCTTCAATTTTCTTAAGGATTTAAATATTTTTATAGTGAATATAAGTAATTTAATAAGAAAAGGTAAACTTTAATATTTTTTTAATACTAATAAATAGTAACTAGAAGTTATTTTTTATTAAATAAAGCTTTTATTATTTGCTTAACATTTATTGGTTATTTATGTCATTTCCTATTGGTTATAATGGGTTTAATTAAAAAAATTATTAATTCATTATTATTAGGAAAAATAATATTTTTTGACTATTTTTTTTATAATATTTATAATGTGTCTAATTTTACTTTCATATAATTTTACAAGTTGATTAAATTTTTTAATTATCACTTTTCACTAAATTCTCGATACAATTCTTCACTTTTAATGTAAAACTTCTATAAAATTTATATTAGCAGATGACTTTTTAATAATTATTAATGATTTTATAAGTTGTTTGATTTTTATAAATACTTATTTTATTGGGTTACTTTTTTTTATTGGATATAATAAGTACAATGCTATAATTATAGTTTGTTTTAAGCATTTTAATTGGGTTAATTTATATCATTTTTGTTATTGTTTTTATGACGCTTTTTATATACTTTTTCTTTTGCCATAATGTTTATTTATTTGACAAATTTTGTATAATTATTTACTTTTTGTGAAATATGAATTGTTGCCTTTCATTATATTTCATGAAGTTAATTTTTGCTTTTAAGTCATTTTTAATTGGTTATGGCAACTTATTTATTATCAAAATAAAATTTTTATAACAAAATATCTTATTGAAGTATTTTTTCTTTACTTTTACGGGTTTCATTTATTCAGGAAATGATTGGTAAATATTATTGGCATCTAAAATTAAATTTTTGATCGGTATAAAAAAATTTAGTATATTTTATGACTTAAATTATTTTAGTGAAATTTTTACTACTACTTTTACAGCTTAAATAAATTTTATATAATAATTTATTATATAGTTTGTGGGTGTGCTATTTGATTGGGTATGGCACCTCGTTATTTTTATTCATTGTATGTTTTAAACCACGTTTTATTGATTATTACAAACTTTACTATAATAGTTTATATAAAATAAATTTTTACTGCATTTCTTTTTTATTTATATTTCTTTATCTTATTAAGTTAAAAAAATAGTCAAAAAGGAATTTTTATAATATTAATAATAACATAAATTTTCATAATAATTAGTGAATGGTAAACTCAGACTAATTATATTAATAGTAATTAACTATTGAAATGTTAAGTTTAATAAATTTTATATTAAACATTTTACCTTGTTTTAAAAACACCCCCATTTGGGGGTTCACTATTTTTTTAATTCATTATTTATTTTTTTAGGAAATAGTTTTAAGAGTTACTCAAAAGTTTAGTTTTCAGTTCTCTAAGAACCATATAACAGTGATTTCTGGAAAAATGGAAGGTTATTTTTTTATTGTCATAATAAATAATAAAGAGAAAAATTTATAAAATTTGTTAAACAAACAATAGTTCTATTATTAAAATATTGTTGTGCGTTTAGTTACTTTTATAGATTTTTAAGAAGTTAATTTATATATATAAAATTAAGAAAATTTTAAAATCTATTTAAACTATTATTTTTTTTTAAAAGTTCTACTATTAAAAATAAGAAAAAATAATATAATAATTTATTATTAAAACTTTTAAATAAATAATATATACTGTATATTTAGTATTTAACTCGATAATAATTATAAAAAGTTGTGTTGTTAGTTATTCTTTTCTAATAAATAAAAAAAATATTTATAGGGAAAGTATTAAAAGTATTTATGTAAGTACTATAAAAAGTATAATTAATAAATGATAAACTTTTATAATGATTTTCTGTTACTTTTATTATATTTTTAAAAAAAACTACTATTATAAAAAAACTATAATAATTACTTAAAAAACTACTTTTTTTATTTTTGTAAAAATAATCATAATTTTTAAGTGTTAAATTATTTTGTCTTCGCAATAATTATAAGTAAATAATATGTACTATAAAATATTTTAATAATTTTTTTTAAGTTTTTTAAAGTAAAATAAAAATAATAATTTATAAAAATTGTTTAATATAATATTTATAATAATAATTATACAGAAAGTTTCGTAATAATAATTTGAAAAAAATATGAAACTTTTTAGGTAGCTTGTAAGCCAATCAGGGGCAACTTTTAAATATTCAATAGTATAAGAGTGGTACAAGATCAGTTATTTTAGTGTACACGCATTTATATGAACGTGAGAGCCCACGTGACAAAGTTCTAGTCGTTTGGTGCTACTTTTCTGTGGTGAGTCTAAAACTTTAGCTGTTTTAATTTAAAAGTATTATATATATATTATAAGAAAAACATAACAAATAACTGAGACAATAAATAAGATAAAGAAATAAAAAAATTGAAAAAAAACTAGAGCTAAAAAAATATATATTTTTATGAGTATTAATAAGTATAAAAAAGAAATAAAACTTGTGGAAAATTTTATTTAAAAAGTTATAATATATTTTTTTCAGGCGTATTTTCTTGGATCACTGTAAACTATTTGCTTGGAAAGTTCGACTCTTTGGACGAACAGCCGCCCCGTACGGATGGCATCATCGATATGGGTGGAGGTTTCTTCTGTCCCTTATTTCTTTTAGCCAATTACTGTTAAGCAAAAAGATTAATAACCGATTAGTAACGATATTTTTGCAGTTGCTCAGCGTGTGCCATCCTTTAATTCTTTTATCCAATAACTTTTTTAAATTTTTTTAACCTCGGTAACGTTATTTTGCAGAGTACACCTCACTTTTAAGTCAATCACTTTTTAAAAAATTTCTAATAAACATTTAATAACGTTTTTTGTAGTAGACCAAATTTGTTTATTACTTTATTGTATTACAAATTTTTACTTTTTATATACTATAACCGATACTATTATATTTATATTTATTTTTATCAATAACAGTTTTATGACGATTTTTTTCTTTTTATTATTAGTATTTTATTATTATTATTGTTATATATATATTATTACTTATGATTATTATTAATATTTAACATTAAATATAAATATTTTTTACTTATTATTATCATACTTAATTTACTTTATAACCTTTAATTCTTAAAACTTCATTATAATTATTTTTTATTTTTATTATTATATTATAATTATTTAAGTTATATATATTTAAATATAAATTTTACTTTTTTATCAAAATAAAATTTTACTTTAATATTATTTATTTAGACTTTATTATATTTATCTTTACTTTTTATTATATTTATATTCAAATTTTTATTATATATTTATTTATAATTTAAATTTAATAAATATTTTATTTATTAGATTTATATTTTCTTTGTATCACTTTATTAAATATAATTATTGATACTTTTTATTATTATTTATATTTATAATAAATATTGTCTATATGTTATTTTTATTTTTTCTTATTTTACTATTATTTATAATTAATATATATGTATTTATATATATATTTGACTTTTTTATTAATATTAAATTTTCATTTTTATTATATAAAATTTATTATAATTTTTTTTACTTTTATTTTTTTTTTATAGTACACTAAATATTTAGTTTATTATTATTTATATAAAGTTTATAATATTTATTTATACTTTTTATTAGTATTTTCTATTATAATAAATATTTGCTTTAGTAATGATTATTATTTTTAAAAGTTTATCATATTTCTATATACTTTTATTATTTCCTATTATAGTAAATATTTTATAAATTATTATTAGTGTATAATTTTTATTTATACTTTTTGTTATTATTTTCTGTTATAATAATATTGTCTTTAATTATTATTATTATTTAAAGTTCATAATATTTATTATACATTTTATTAATGATTTCTATTATAATAAATATTTACTTTAATATTATTTACTCAAGGTTTATTATTTTTTCTCTATGCTTTTTGTTATTATTTTCTATTATAATGTTCTTTATATATTTTTATTATTAAAAGTTTATAATATTTATACTTATTATTATTATCTCTATTCTTTGTCATTATATATTAAGCTGTCTTTTAAAAAACCTTAATGAGTAGCAACTAATTTAAAATTTGTTTTTCTAATAATTATTTACTGGTTTACTACATTTCATTTACTATTATAATTCCAGTATTATTTATATATTAATTTATATTTACTATATTTTTCCTTTTTATTAATAAAATTTTAATATTTCTTCTAACAGCGTCCGCTCAAATTGCTTTTGAAGTTCCTCAACCGCTTCAAAATTCAGAAGTTATTATTAATAATTTTACTTTTCTATATAATTTTTGCAATAAAAGTTTTTTTACTTAATTTTTATTAGTTTAAATAATTCTTCTAAATTTTTTAAAAATTTTATAGTTTAATATTTTTAATAATCTTACTTTTTATTTTATCTTCTCATAAAACGTTATCGATTTCAAGTTTTTTATTATTATTATTCGTTATTATTAGTTTTCGTAATTTTCTTTAAAGATAAGTTAAAAATGTTAAATAAAAATTTTTTTAAAAACCTTTATACATTTTAGTTTTTTTTTTAATTATTTCATTTCTTTAATAAAAAATAATAATAAAAAAATAAAAATAGTTCATGAGTTAAATATTTTTTAGCGTTTATGTTAATTCCTTTTTTTTTATATGGATTTTAATTTTTCTATTATTACTTTTAATTTTATTCTTTTTTTTAATGATTTTTTATCTTTTCATTAAAATAAACTTATTATAAAAGTATCGATATATATGTAAACAAAAAAGGGACTCAAACAATATTTTTTTTTAATAAATTAAATATATTAACGTTTTCAATATCTTATGAGTTAACTCTTTTCTTTTATTACCTCTTTTATTATTCTTTATACTTATTTTTTATTTCATTATTAGTTTCTCAATCGTTCATTTTTTTTATAACGCTTCACCCTCTTTTTTGCTATATTATATTTTCTTATTAAAACTATATTTATTTTTATTTTAATTTTTCTTATTAGTCGCTTTTTAAAATTCTTTTTTAATAAAACTTAAAAATATATTAATTAATATTTTTTTTGAAGTTATTAAGTTTTAAATTTTATTATAATTATTAATTTTTATAAATTTTTTTATATAAAACTTTTATTGATTATATTACTTTTTTACTATTAAAGAAGCTGACGAATCACATTGTTGAACTAGACTTCAGCAGAATAGAAAAAATAAAGGAAACTTCGCTAAATAGAAAAAAGTAACTATTTCATAATTTTTGTTAGGTTTTGCTCCAACCAATCACAAGATCAATAATTATTAGGTGGAACCAATCTTCAGTCTGTATAACTTTTTTTTCTGCTTATTTTTTTTAGGTATCATGTCTTTTCTTTTTCGTTCTTAGGATTCGGGGCTAACGAGGTTGAAAAATATTATTATGAAAAACTTTTTACTTATAGAAGTATTTATTATTATTATTATTATTATTATTATTATTATTATTATTATTATTAGACTCTTCCGTTATTCTGGATAACTGCACTCCTTTAGGATTTCAAAAAAAACTTTATTTAAATAAAACGCCAATCACTATTAGTGGTGACCAAGAATTATATGAATTTTAGCCAATCAAATTTTATATAGAAAATTAATTAACCAATATAATTTTAGGAAATGGCGATTTTGATTTATGCAAGAAAGCAATAATGCCTTTCTTAAATATGACTGAGGATTGCCTTTCATTGATTGATTGTTATATTTATCTTATTATTAATATTATTATTGTTATTATTGTTATTATTGTTATTTAAGGCACTCTAAACGGTATTACTCTTCTTCCGTTGCCCTACAAAACCATGACCTTCTGGGGCTTGGCAGAGTACTGGTACACTACGGCGGATGTTTTTCGTTTCGGTTTGTATTATTTATATTATTATTAAAAATAATAAAAGTCTAAATGTTTTAATATAATAAACTTTTTTTTTTTTCTGAATTTTATTTTATTCCAAGAATCAATATTTGTTTTTATGGTAAACATTTATTATCATTCTTATTATTACTTTTATTATTCTAGACGGAAACTATTCAAGAGAGTCGTTTGATACTATTGCGAAGGATTTTTGCCAAACAAAGTGGTCTATTTTGAAAAATAACTTTGAAAAAGGTTTTGCTGTATAAAAAGGTAGTACAGTATTATTATTATAGTTATTATATATATATAACAGGGATGTACCCACTTTCCTCAGAAAGAAGATTGCAGTCGCAATGCTTTAAGGCGAGTTGGATGAGTAATATACTCCAGTTCGGCCATAAGTATATAATAATAATAATAATAATAATAATAATAATAATAATAATAATAATAATAATAATAATATAGTTATAATAGCTACAATAATTAATAAGTAAAGTAATAACAATAAATAAATTTATATCAATTTTTTTAAAATTAATTTTAAAAATGAAAATCAATAAAAGGCTGACCAGCCAGGAAAACTTCCGTCCAGTCGGAAGTATAAGCGGCGTTGAAGTCCAATGGGCTCTCGGAGCAATCATTTATTATACTCATTTTTACTAGGAAAAAATAAAATAATTTCTGCATTTTCTTTAATTTTGGTAAATTTTTAAAATTGCCACATTTTTAGTAAAACGAAATTATTTATATTTATATTATTTTTTATTTAATTATAATAAACGCTTGTAAAAAGTCTTGCTGAGTTCTTTTTTACTTGGTAATAATTTGGGAAATGTATATTTAACTTTATTTTAAATTATTAAATTTTATAAAAATTAACTTATTTACTACCAGTTAACGCTTCTTATATTCGAATAAAAATAAAATTTAATAGTAAAAGTAAAGAAATAAGTTAAAGCAAGAAAGAACGATAAAAAATTGTAAATTATCTATTTAAAAAAAAATATACATAATGGAAAATAGCATAACAAATTTTTATATTATTAAAAAATTGTTTACCATTAAAAAATATTATAAAGTCAATATTAAATTTTATTATAATAAAAAGTTATTAAAAAAAAAAAGGAGATTTAGCCATTAATATTATAGTATAGATATTATTTTTGAAGTTGACTATAACAAAAAAAAAAGCAGAATAAGATTACGGCCTAAGAGATCTTTTTTGAGTATAACCTATAAAAATTAATTAACCGGGTTTAAATATTTTAAACAAATAATAAAAAATTCTCAGGAAAGCAAGATTTTATTATAATATACTGTAATTAAATAAAAACAGCAGTATAATTCTATTAAAAAAATCATTTTTACCGAAGAAAAATATATTATAAAGTAAACATTTAAATTTTTAGCAATTTAAGAAAGACTTTCCCAAAAAGAGAGAATTGTAATTAGGTATAACCGAAAAAAAATACAATTTAAAGATGGCTTAAATTTAAAAATTAAAAAAGGTTCCTTAGGAAAGTTAAAATTGTAGGTTTTATAATAAACTGTAATATTAAAAACAGCATAATATAATTATGGTCAAAAGGGTATTTAGCTATAACTAATACAAAATATATTAAATATTAGAAAAAGGGGAGCAATAAAATCGTGAGTACACGTAAAATAATAAAAGGCGCTAAGACAAGCTTTCAGTTTAATTATGCACTCTTTAAGATGACACATCATTTTTTAAAACATATTAAATATAATTTTTCTGCATATAAGAAAAATAGTAGACCACTTCTAATCAAAAATCCTTCCTTTGCGCAGGCATCTTAAATAAATTTTTTTTTACTATGTTACTTTATATCTTTATTTTAAGTAGTGATTTTTATGAGTTACGTAAGTGTTTAAATGTGTATTATTTTAATAAAATAGGATCAAAGTATTGCAATAAAGATTAACTTGTAGATAACTGAGTGAGTGTTGAGTAGAAACTCTCGTGACTACGGGGAGAGTGTAAACAACTTTTTTCTTACTACTAAATAAAATGCGCATCATAACTTAGAGCTAGATGAAGTAAAGTTTGGTATCTGTAAAACCGTTGCGACGCATGGATACTAAAAGATGTTATATTTTTAGATTTAATCAACACAGTTTCATCTTGTTAGCAATAAATAGAATTAATTTAAAGGCTATAAGATAAATACAAAATACAACACTTAATAATTACTTTGGTAAGAAAAAAACATTAATGCTCATATACAAACCTCAATATACATATAAGTAAACAATGTAAGTGGCAAGAAGAAAAGAAACCGAACGCCTTTGTTTATTTTTATTTTTATTGAGCACTAAATTCCACGGACGAATACCTTTAGCCATCCCCCCAATAAAGTTCATCCGGAGATAAAGTAAACGATATAACACCATCAACAGTAACTTTTTAAAAAATATATATTTCTAAACATTTCAGAAGGTTATTAGTTATATATATTAATTAACAAATACAATATAATCGGCTTTTAAAATACGAAGAATTAAACTATTCAAGTTATATTTAAGAAAATATCCGTCAATAAATATAATTATTAATAACCTTTTGCAAAGGCATATGTATGACGTGAGCGTTTTAATAAAATTTACTCTCCTTTATCTCTTGCCTTTATATACCTTTCATATGGAGCATAACAACTGTCTAGAACGTTTAAGAAACGGCAAAGTCTCGGAAGGGACTGCTGCCATTCAAATTGGGCTCCCACTAGCACAGCTGCTAGGCAGTAATAGCATTTACAGAAAATAATAGAAAAATTTTGAACCAATAACAATAATATTTAAATAAAATATATAATAAAGAAATTAAATTAAATAACAAAATAAAGAGACAGAGAGAGATAATTAGATTAATCGATGTGGGTTTTGTTTATTCTTTAAAGTCTAATATATTATTGAATTATCCAAAATATCTAGCTTCATAAATCATTTTTGACTGGGCATTAAATAGTACTTTTTTGAATAAAGTGCTTTAAATTTTCTGCATATCAGTTTTCGATATGAAGGGTTTAGCTTTACTTTGGATTTGTTTACTACTTATTTCTTTATATAACCGAACGTAGTTAGCACTTAAGTATGTTTTTACTACTTTACCTGATGAATACAGTCTCATGGAATTTGAGAATAATCGGTCATAACTTCCGCAATATTATTTTAGAAAAAGAGTATCAAAATTTGTATAAAAATATATAGAGTATATTAAATCAAGGATGTATAGCAAATTCAATTGAATCAGATAAAATTTTTACTTTGTTTAGTTTGTATCCAATTTATAAGGTAGTTCAAATAAAATTTTTTGTGTTGAAATATTAATCTCTTTTTTCTTGTTTGGTTGTTTCTCAAGTTTCTGATAGGATTAATCAAGAACCCTTTTCATGTGAAAATTTAGGTTAGTGTTTTGTGTTTGTTTGCGTTTGTAATTTTGTTTTTATGTATATGTTTTATGATTGTGTACTTTATACTTAATGTCTAATACAATATATTTTTGTAAGCTATGTTTACTTTTTTTTTCTAAATGTGTTTTGTGTTTCCGGTATATTGTTTTTGTATCTGGTGTTTTAAATTGTGTCTTAGGTGTTGTGTATGCTGTGTTATTGTATTAAGAGTTTTTTATGTAACCTTGGAAGTTTTAACTTTATGCTCTTTGTATAGTTAAGCATTACTAATAAACCACCAAGCGTTAGTAGATATTTTGAAATAGCTTACTTTGTTAACGCTTAAGTTTCCAAATAAGCTGAGGAGAACAGTATTCTTCGGCAGGAGAGGAATATATGGAACTTAAACATATAATCGTTTGTATTTGTAAGAAACTTCCTTACCGTTATAGACAGGTGTAGAGTGGAAGTATAGGAAAACTATACCTTTTTAGCTAAGAGCATAAGCTATGTGATTTTTTTAACACTCATTCTTTGGTAAAGTATGACTCTTTTATATATTGGATATCGCCGGTTGTCTTCTTTTGCTCATATGCATGGAAGGCTGTTGGCCGGATCTTATTAATTTAAAACTTCCACTTCAATGCCATCCTTTTACCTTTTTGAAAGAGGAGCTTTGATGGGCAAGTGTTAAAGCGGAGACCTCAGTTAGAATTTTTTTTTTTAGCTCAATTACTACACGATTAAAGCTAGTTTAAGGAGGCAATTCATAGGTAAGTCTGCCTATAGATCGAAAAAGCAATGGGGGTAGAGAGCCTTAATAAACTCTTCTGAGTGCAGGGAGAAAAACAGCTTAAAGTGGCACCTCATATAACTAAGAAGTTACTTTTTTTTAAAGATTGTGGAATTAATTTAATTACAGTCTTGAAGAATTTGAAAAGGCATTACTTGAATGAAAGTTCCCACTTGACAAACGTTGTCTACTGCTTTTTCAATATGTTAGCTTTTCACCATGTCAAACAGTGGACGTTAACCTCATCACTGCCACTGCCGAAAACTGTTTTAATTAATTGGATTATCTTTAAATTAATAGTTTTTGTACATTTACTTTTGCTTGATGTAAGTGTAGGTCGTTTATATGCGTATATTTCACAATAAAGTACAAGTAATTCTTACTCCACCTTTCAAATAATAGATAAATCGTGGCCGCTGATGATGTTCAGATTCTTAAAGGTTGGGAGCTACCGATAAGGACAGAAACCAGCATAACATTAATTATATGGAAAGAAATAATAATAACCTGACTAATGATAACAACAAACTCCGGATTAAAAATATTAGTAAAACTAATTATATAATCATCAAAAGTTACTAATAATAATAACAATAGTGATAATATTTGAAGTAGCCACGCGGATTTTTATACATATATTGGTAAAATAACACTACCAGCCCCAATACCCACTGCATGGGTAGCTAAGCCACACAATAACTATAACTATATCATCTACACTAATACAGGCCTATTCAAGTGCAAGGTTAATTAGTTTTATATTTTTAGCCGAACTATATTAATGACTCAGAACGAAGCATAATTTTATTGGTCATCACTCATTACCAAAGCAGCCATAACGTTTGCTTTCTGCTTTACTACTCACACATTGAAGGTTATCTTACTGTGGGAACTTAGCCAATATTACCAGTATTTCACTAAAGTCTCCAAAGGCTCATCATTTACTACCTATAAGAATAAATAGCTTCAGAAGGCAATGCTAGTATACTAAACGCAAGCGAATTCTGTCAAAGTAAAAGAGTAGTTAGCCCTTCGTGTGTTCTTCAATAGTCAAAACGCTACGAGAGTCAGCTGTTAGAGCAACAGGTGTCTAGCTAACGAACACAAAGGCGCCAAGAGATAAGTCCTACGTAACTTGATAGCAGTAATATGCGCACTGAAACATAGGGAATCTTGCACCTGTCCAGGAAATTAATATTAAGTGCTGGTCTTTCGACGAGAGTTATTTAGTTTATTACAATGTAGTTTTACGCCCGCTTAGCTCTCCGGAGTAGCGTACAACCTGAACTTAGGGTTTCATGCAGGAAGGTACCATGAACACATTTTTGGTGTATAAAATGGTTATAAGGAAGTCTAAGCTTTAAATAAAAAGCTAGCCATAACTTGCCAAGAGTAAAAATTAGCAAGTCATAGAGCTTAATAGCACATTACCCAAGACCCCTAAGAACAG